GTAATTTTGTTAAAATTAAATGTTAAAATGGGTATAAGAAAGGCATGGATTTTCTAATTTGGTGTTGATAATTTTGTAATTTTGTTAAAATTAAAGGTTAAAATGGGTATAAGAAAGGAATGGGAAGGGTGAAATTGGAAAAAATTAAAAGAAGATTGCATGAGAAATTGAACCGGTGGTTTTTTCGGTTCCATTGATTGTTATCGATTTTAATCGGTTTTGACATCAAATGGTTTTTTTATATAAACCAAACTATTTTTATCACTGAATATCAATCCAATCGGTTCAACCGACCGGTCCGATCCGATTTTAAAAACCTTGTTAAAATCAATGAGGGTTTTTCTATTTGTGCTATAAGGGCTCAAAATATGAGAATGTTTATTGTATATTTTTAATTTATTTATTTAAAAAATATAAATATTAATCTAAATTTAATTAATTAAAATTATTTTTTAATAATAAAAATAAAATAATATTATTTTATATTTTTTTTTATATAAATTAACTATAAGAAATATATTTATTATATTATTATTTTATAACTTTAAAATATAAATTAAAAAACCCTAATCAATAATTATAATTTGTTGCTGTCCGACAATATTTTTATTATTTTTAACCGTGTGAGTACTTTGAGCACACGAATCTCTGAGAAGAGTGATCGAGGGCTCAGGGAGGTGTAGACTGTGTAGTTTCATCGAATGGTGCGCTTCTGGGTTGTTTCGAAATTACTCCGAACAATTTTTGTGGCTCTTATTTCAAAAAGTTATCTGTTGGTGTAGTTGTATTCTACCAAAGAAAAAAAAAAGTGATTCATCTTATGATTTAATATTTTAAAGTATACAATATATTTTTATTTAAAATAATTATATTTAAATTAAATATTAATTTTAGTATCTTAATTTTAGATTTTTGTATAATTTTTATCTTTTAATTATTTTAAATATTTTTTACTAAAAATATATATTATAAATTTAAAAATTAAAAATATATAAATTTAAGTAGACTTAACTAATTAACTAATAAAATTATAAAAAGTATATACTTTTCTAAGTTGAGAGTAGAAAAA